AGTTTAGAATCTTTTTCAGTTATTGTTGTCTGTGCTCCTATTGAAGAGATATCTCCTCAACCCCTGTTTTGTCTGTATTTGTATATGGAGGGGGGGATTATGGCTACACATAATGGGTGTGGGCATGGCTTAATAGGGGCCGTTATACTAGTGGTACAGTCATAATAAGCATTTGAGCATGGTGAAATAGAGCTAGGTTCCATTACCCTTATTATAAACTTATTTATTTTGTCTAGAATTTAAGGTAGCCTAAAACATACATTTAGTCTCCTTGTAAAAATGAAAACACATTATTTTACAATTGTTCCTGTTTTTAACAGCAGTAGAATTAAATTCCTAATACCAAAGTTGAAGTTACTCAAAGGAGATGTACTGTATGGCCAAAGCTCTTTTGCCCCTACTTCTCTTGTAGGTCATAGGAGCAATGACCAATAACACCACAAAACAACTTATCCACGCCTTGGTTATATCCCGCCTTGATTACTGCAACTCCCTCCTCACTGGTCTACTGTTACACAGGCTATTACAGTCTATTATGAATGCTGCTGCTAGACTCGTACACCTTACCAACCGATCAGCGACTGCTGCCCCTCTCTGCCAATCCCTTCACTGGCTTCCAATAACCCAACGTATAAAATGTAAAATACTAACCACAGCTTACAAAGCCATCCACAACACTGTCCCTAGCTACATCACCGACCTCATCCACAGATACCGCCCAAATCGCCCACTCCGCTCCTCCCATGATATCCTCCTCTCTAGCTCCCTCATCACCTCCTCCCACGCTCGCCTCCAAGACTTCTCCAGAGCCTCTCCCATCCTCTGGAACTCCCTACCACAGCATGTCCAGTCAGCCCCCAACCTGTCTGCCTTTAGGTGATCTTTGAACATGCACTTCTTCAGGGAAGCCTACCCCACCTCCACCTAAGAACTGTACTTGAATCACCGGCGCCAGATCATCCCCCGCAACTATCATCTTTCGTATCACCTCCCCCTTCCTTTAGATTGTAAGCTCCACGAGCAGGGCCCTCACATTCCTTCTGTACTGAAATGTATTGTAATTGCACTGTCTCCCTTATATTGTAAAGCGCTGCACAAACTAATGGTGCTATATAAATCCTGTATAATAATAATAATAGGAGTCCACTTTGTTCTGCACTCCTGTGACCTAAATTCAGCTGACAGCATGCTAAAGTCCACTGTCAGCTGCCATCATTCATCCAGTCTGGGCCCTGGAGAGAACCCAACTCTAGGCCTCGTGCATACCATGGTGCAGAGATGTCAGTTTTCTTGCATGCGTTCTGCAAGGGCACAAAGAAAACAATTGTTCTCTATGTGCCCTGTTCACACTACACACTAGTATCAGATGCAGATTTTTTTCTGTTCAGGAATCTGCAACGTGTATAATGCAGGCCATAGACGGTTCAATTTTTGTCCAAAAGAATAATCGGCCGATTTTCACACTGTTAGTGGCCAATTTTCGCGGTTCCTCCTCATTTCATTTATCGGTTATGCTGCAAAACTCGTGACAAAACGACTGATTTTCGCAATCATTGGTGGCAACATCGGTTAACAGAACGATGTTTTCTTTTCGAACGAAAAATCGGCTGATAAACAAATCGTCTATGGCTTGCATTAAACTCACTGAACTGTGCATGAAAACTGATGTAAACTCGTGTCTTGGAAAAAATGCACAGATTTCACTTTCAATTGGTTTTTCAGCATGTTTGGTGTGAATGAGGCCTTAATGTCAGGATCCACCCAGATGCCCGGACCAGCAGCTGGCGTAGCCTCTCAGCATGCCACTGAGAGCCAGAGCCAGCCGCTACCACCCCCTCCACAGCCCAGTGCTCCAGTGAGTGATGGAGGGGCAAAACAGAGAGCTGGTGACTGACAGCCACCACTCTGTGTTCAGGGCGGACTTGAGAACTGAGCGATCAGCATCTTTAATCACTTAGTTCTTGGTGTAGAAGTGCCGCGGACCCGATGTAGCATCGGACAAATGCATCCACCTAGGTAAGTATATAGGCCTGTTTTTTTTTTTCAAAACCCTCACATTTGTTATTAATGTGTATTTTTTTAGCTTGTGATGCATCAATAATGTATGTAAACAAAAAAAAACTTATATAAATTTTGATTTTTTTTTTTTTTTACAGTTTAAGCTTTGGTACATCTGACATTAAAGCAGAATTCCGAGCAAAAACATCTATACATGTCCTTGTTGCTAATTTTCTACCTTCGCTGAATATGTCATCCATCTTCTTGTTCACTCAGTAGTTGCTCTGAAATAGACTATTCATTTTCAAATCAAATTGTTAATTCTCTTTGGGTGCTCGTTTGTACAACCAGTGACTGCTTTGCCTCCTATTCCTGCAGGCTCTGGTCTTGGCACATCCCTTCTGTAGTTCTTTCTCCAGGAAGTAGTGATGTAATTCAACCCCACTTGCAGTGGTGGGCGGACCGAGATGCTCAGACACATTCAACAGGAACAGGACTAGTGTGCCTTCCCACATTCTCTGTGGTTGATGGGAACTCTAGTTTCCTGTTACTGCAGAGAGAGAAGAGAGGATATAATACAATTCCTGATGTTGCACCTCCACTTTGGCAGAGCAGATGCTGTTATCTTTTGAATTACAGAGATGAGGTCATGAAAATATTTAATTAGAATTTTCTCCTAAATGGTAAAGGTTTTCAAAATGTTATTAACGGTTTAATGTTTTGTGTAAGGGGGGGGGGGGTTGTACTAATGGGTGATTTTTTTTTTTTTTTTTGCCTATCCCGGAGTTCTTCTTTAACCACTTCCCGTCCAGCCGATGTATATAAACGGCCGGACGGTGGCAGTGCAGGGTCGGGCCTCCCCCTGAGTGCGCACAGCACTGCGATCCGGTGCACACTGTGTCCTCTGGACACAGTGGAACACCAATCATCGGACGGGAGCTCTGTGAGAGGTCCCAATAATGTGATCACTGATTGGCCAATCAGTGATCACATGCAGAGTAGTAAGCAAGATGTCACTTCTGACATCATTGCTTACTACGTGTGAAATCTGTGAATGATCACAGAGGTCACATGGTACAAGGCTATTCACAACAGTCTTGTACCATGTGACAAGCTGTGACCAATCACAGCTCACACAGTAGTTCTCAATGGCTGCAAGAATGCAGCCAAAGAGAAGGAGAAATGATTGCTGTTACAGCCTTTATGGGTGTAAAAGCAATCAGTGTAGAAAAAAAAAAAAAAAAAATCTTCTTCACCCCCCACAAGTAGTACAGTGTCACCATGTACTGCTAGGGTGACAGTATGTAAAAAAAAAAAAAAAACATAAAAAATAATATAACAAAAACAAAATGTAAAAAAAAATGTTTACAAGTTATAATTTTTGGTTACAAAACTAATTTGGGTTATATTTTTTTTTTTTACTAAAAGGATAACGGAATAAATTTTGGCCAAGATTTATGATTAAATATTATTTATTTGCAAAATTTTATAAGAAAAACACTTTTTTTAAACATTTTGGACTTTTTCATTTACATAGCAAAAAAAATAAAAATCCCAGTGGTGAATAAATACCACCAAAATAAAGCTTTTTCTAACTAAAAAAAAAAAATGCTAAAAAATTCATATGGGTACAGTGTTGCATGATAGTTCAATTGTCATTCAAAGTGTGATACCACTGAAAGCTGAAAATTGGCCTGGACAGGAAGGGGGTAAAGGTGTCCGGACTTGAAGTGGTTAAAGGGCAGATAAAGGGAGATTTTTTATTTCTGTAAATAAGCACATAAATAAATAACTTTAACAGTTGTAACAATTGTAACCTTATATTATATCATACAATAGAACTGTAAATTGAAACAGTGTTAGCAGACATTATTCACACACAAGTCGCTGCAGAGCCTTCTGTTTACTATGCAAGGTGCCCAAACCAGATACTATGAATAGAAATTAAAGCCAAATTCTAACTATAAACAAATTCTGCACATAGAACTTTTTTTCTATGAAAAAAACAGCAGTTTTTCAATAGGGGATGGGAAATTTTAAAAAATGATTTAGTAGCTGGAGCTCAGTCTTGAAAATTGCAAGAGAAGTTGCAAAATCCAGGAGGAGTTCCCAGCCTTTTTCCACACCAAAGAAAAATTTATATATATATATATATATATATATATATATAATATATATATAGCTGCTTGTGTCCATTTAGGGAAATATCCCCTCACTTGTTCTGCCTGACAGCTAACAAACAAGCAGACAGTGAAGAAAAATCAATCTAATAGAAACATTGGCAGAAATCCCCAGTTCAGTATAATTTTTTTTTTCCCTCCAACCCCCTCTACTGATTGCTGGAAAGGAAAAACCAAATCTCTATGTATCTTTTTTTTTTTTTCTACATACCTTAACCACTTGCCCTGCTGAGGATTTACCCCCTTCCTGACCAGGCAATTTTTTGCGTTATAGCGCTGCATTACTTTAACTTACAATTGCACGGTCATGTAACGCTGCGCTCATATGAAATTTATGTCCTTTTTTTCCCACAAATTGAGCTTTCTTTCGGTGGTATTTGATCACCTGTGTGTTTTTAATTTATTGCACTATAAAAAAAAACTGACAATTTTGAGAAAAACATATTTTTGACTTTTTGTCCAGTAACAAAATTTAACCTCCCTGGCGGTATGATTATTTCAGATTTTTGGGGCTGAAAGCGGTACCATTATTTTGCATGGAAATTTGGCGTTTTATATTGTAGGCCTGTAATTCTTAGGAATAACTCACTGAAATCTGTCCGAGTCTAGTAAACATCCCGGGTAGGATAAAACTTGAAACACGAAATCATAAATTATAATTTAATAAATAATCATAAAAAATAATATAAATAATAAATGTAATTCAATAATATAATCAAACCAAAAACACTGAAATTTTAAATATAGCGCCAAGTTCGCACATCACTGAGCAAAGTTGCAAAATCGTTTTCAATGACGAATTTCCCCACGAATCATTATCACTCAATTCTGCAAGTAGTTCTAATTTACTATCGCTGTTCCCTAGCTGATCTAAAACCGCTTTTGACCTAAAGGGACGCTTTTTGGACGCCATGGACGTTTCTCAGTTTCCAGGCAGAAAGAACAGTAAAAATGCAGGCAGGGCACAGGACAAAGCACTAGGGACAAAATGTATGTGAAATGCTTTGATACAGTAATGTTTTACTATGTGATTTTAGTGAATGTCACTTTTTTGTCATTTTCTAATTTCCTGCCGTTCCGTCCCCCATACGTCCCGACGCTCGCAGAGGACGGAACCCAGATGAAATATGCCAGCATCCGCCGGATTACATTGCCGGGGACACTGCAGGAGGGACATCGCGGGAGCGCAGGACAAAGTAAGTGATCGATGGATCGCGGAGCAGCGCCGCATGGTAAGCCCGAGTGTAGCTCGGGGTCACCGCTTGTGGTACTGAAACTTTACCCTGAGCTACACTCAGGAATACCGCCAGGGAGGCTACAAAATTCAATTTCATAAATTTACACCAAAATGTATTCTGCTACATGTCTTTGCTAAAATAAAATCCCAATACGTGTAAATTGAATGGTTTACGTGAAAGTTTTAGCGTTTACAAATGGCATTGTAGATACTGGAATTTTTTTTTTTCTACTAGTAATGGTGGCGATCAGCGACTTACAGTGGGGCTGCGGCAGGCATTCTGCAACTGGGGGGAACTGAGTTTGTGTCACTGACACCCCCGCTGACACCAATACAGTGATCAGTGCTAAAAAAAAAAGCACTGACACTGTACTAATGGCACTGGGCAGAAAGGAGTTAACATGAGGGGTGGTCCAAGGGGTAATTTTGTGCTGTTTTAGTTATGTCCGTGTGTGTGTGCTTTACTATAATTACACTGACTTGCATGGCTGTGCTGTGCACAGCCATCCAAAGCAGTGTGCAGAATTTGACAGGGAGGAGAACTGTATTGTTTACATACAGTTCTCCTCCCCGTCGCAGATGCTCGGCAATCGCCGGGCGCCAGAGAGTAATCACCGGCCAGGACCCAGTGATTGACAGCCGCGGCCACAAAAATGCAAAACCACATATATATATATACGTGGTTTTTCGCATTCCGTGCCGCCCTGAAGCAGTATATCTGCTATAGGGTGGTCGGGAAGCGGTTAACCAGTGGTCACATAAAGCTGCAGCCCCAAGTCTTCTTTTCTGTTTACTTCTTGGAACAGTCCTTTTTCAGGTAATGACAACAGTGCATGCATAAAGTAGACACTTACTATTGGTGGGGTTCTCTCAGGATCCAAAAGCGGGTGACATCACAGTGGATCAGAATTCTCAAGGGAAAATTGGGGCATGAGCATCGCAGCTCTGGGTCAGCAGTCCTCCACCTGGGACTGGTGGCTCCGAGGAACCTGGAGGCAGTAATTAGGTGTAAGTATATCTGGCTTCACAAGGTAAAGAGGAAAAAATGCCTAGTAGGATGAGTTACAGGAAGAGGGAGGGATGGTAAAAAATTAGTCCAGGAAAACAATTTGGATCTGGTTTTAACACACAGAAGCAGAGAATGTTAAAGTGCAGGACATTTGTCCAATATTGGTGGAACTAATCTAGAATACTTCTTTAAATGTTATGCCATTTTAAGGTATTTTTTGCCTGTTTTGCCCAATGCAATTTTAACTGAAAAAAACAAACCTTAATAACACTGCCACCAGATGATTATCATTAATAATAAGCAAACCTTTGCTATCTTAATCATTGTACAGTATATGAGCAGATGTACAAACTTAAGTTTAGTGATAGTGCTCTAGAGCAGGTTTTTCTTTATGTGCTTTTTTTTCCTCACATGGTCAGAACAACCAATACTAGAGGTGCAAAGGAGACAAACAAAGGTCTACCAGGATAACAGTGAAAAGGGGGCCACCCTATACAGTAGTATTCATTGTGAAAAAAAACTCAGACCATCTTATCCGTCTGAGTCAAGAGAGACCCTTTGCTCCCTTTGCAAGTCTAATGAGAAACAGCTCAATGAAAGCAAATGTTAATCTAGATTTTGAACATTGTTTATGATTGAAACGCTATTTCTGATGTGCTAAAGGGCAATAACTCGCACCTGAAGCAGTTGGTAGTGCTCATTATTGTGTGTTATGAGCAGGACCATTCCTTACTCTTTTGTAAAGAAGGGGGAATCATCTGAAGTACAGTTGTCAACATAAGTCAAGGATTGCAACAGGCTCAGGTATTCCGTGGAATAATACAAGGATAGGTTGACAGCTCCTCTTCCATCTGTGTCCAGCCTTATTCAGTGCACATTTGTTGGAGACCCAAAAAATGTAGACTTCATGGCTGGATACACCTATTTTTTATTGTAGCCTTGGCTGATGGCTTTCTTAGGTGTCACATAAACATGATATGCATTGTCTAAATTGAGTAAATCACACCTTTCTGTTGGAGGGGCTACAAACAATCTGGTATGGTATATCACATCCTTTGGGCTTGCCCCCATTTATTCAAATTCTGGCCAAATATTTTCCAAGTACTTTCACAGCTCACTGGTACATAAATATGGGCATCCCTGGACTTGGCTCTCCTCTCCCTCGGAATGTAACAGATAATACCCAAGCTCTGACCCATTGTGATCCATATTTTATTAATAGCCAGACTTTCCTTGAATCGTCATTGGAAGTCTACCCGAATATCTGATATCTCAGAGGTATGTGCAGACTCTTTGCACCGATGAGATTATGCTTGCCTCAAGGAACTATGCCTATTCTAACACCAAGGTTATCTAATAACTCTTCTTGATTACTGTAATTTGCTGATTTATATACAGGTCATTGGATGTACCAGTTATGGAACGTGATCGGAGTTTCTAGTGCTGTATAAGACATTCCAGTCTTGTAAACTAATCCTCCTACATTGGGGATTTATTATACATTGCTCTGCTCTGTTTGTGTTTTCATGTTGCCTTCTTTTTTGGTTTTGCAATGTTGAAAACCCTCAATAAAGAATTATTGAAACACACAAAAAAAAACATGATGTGCATTGAAGCCCAGTCAAAACATTCTTTTTAATGGGGGAAGCCCAGAACCCCTCTCTAACATTTATTGTAGACTGTATCCCTGTTAACAAGATTCATCCTCATTACCTGCAAGGATAGAAAGTGAAGGAAATTTTTCAGAAACAACCATTCCCCCTTTTTTTTTTTGTCTGGCTGTTGAAGGCTGTCAGAAAGGTAGGAATGGGTAGATATCACTCAGGGGAGACACAGACAGAAAAAACACATTTTTTTTGGTATAATGTAAAAGGGTTAACACCTCTGTTTGGTTTTTATTACTATCTGTGACTTTTGCCCCAGTGACAATCCTGCCCTCATTTCTTGTCCTGCTGTGAAGGCTCTCAGAGGGACATGAAGTAGGATGAAATCTCCTCAATGCAGTCACAGACAGCAAAAAAAATTGTAGTAAAATAAAGTAAAACAAGGTTTGGCTGGAGTTGAGATGTAAGATGAGTTCATGTGATTTTACAATCACTTTCTTTACAAACATGGTCATAGAGAATGTGCCTTTAGCCAGAATTTCTCATGTAGACCGCTGCAATGGTAAGCTACTGGTTGCAAAGCAGTCAGTTAACAACTTTAATTAACAGACTACTCATTATCCTACCCATGTATTAACTGTTCTGCACATAATGCAGAATCTCTAAATTTTCAGCCCAATAATTTGCACACTCTGCACAATTTAGCTAAATCTTCCTAAGGGCAGATATTTCAATTAGAAATTAAACTTGCTTTAAGACGCAATCAGAAAAACAGTATGATACCAGTTTGGATTAGAAATGAGCTAGGGAGTCAATAGCTGTTTCAGTAAAAGATATGCAGGGTTATACTGGGTTATCCCATCAGCAAGTTGCTAACGTAATCCTCAGAAAACTTTTTCCTGTAATATTCATACTGTTAGTTATAATCTGGGTATCACAAGTAGTTATATGTGATTATAATCATATAATGAATTGTGTAGCCTTATTCAATAATCACTTGCAAAGTATTAAAGTAATCTTAACAGATCCCTAGCATTTTGTGGTGCTGGTAACAAGTCACAAGGCACAGTCTCCCTGCTTGCGTTTGCTGCAGTTAGCAGGTCTTACTGTGAAATAGCGCGATCCACTAGAGATTGCACCGCTGGTAACAGTAGCTCGTAGGAGGCACATACACTGAATGAACAAGAGAGATAGAGGTGACTCATAGAATTATTACTGAATTATAGTACTGAATACCCAAATTTTCTGACTCAAGTTTGCACTTTTTTAAATTCCCACAGTTAATGTAATAATACTAACAATAATAGCCAATAAAAACCATTACTACAAAATAATGTGTCTTATGCAAGTGACATTGTGAAAATTTAATTTGTGTAAATAAATAACAATTACAATAATGCCCAATTAATTAGGCAATGTGTACACTCTAGAAACCCATTATTAATATTTATTCATGCACTGAAGAGACTACATTAAGCAAAAGTTTGTGTCATTGGTGTGGGTTTCCAAACATTATCATTGTTTTTGGTACTACCTTAAAGTGAATGTCAATAGCTGCAAGAAATGGATTTATTAATTTTACCTGTGCCTCCTCCACCATGCCAATCTTTTCTGTCTTGAAGAGCTACAGTGGTAAAAAATCTTCTGCAACTGACACTTCCAAGCATGTCAGATACCTGGTCCTCCACTTCGCTCTGTGATTGAATTTACTGGTCCATAAGTCACTAAGGAACACAGGAGTGACATTTATATTAACCCCCTGAAACATTCCCTGGTAAATGTGAGCAAAACCCAGATGCGCCTGGACCCACTGGGCTTGTTCACACCATGTCCAGAGAAATATGTTTAAGCACTGGTCACCTGCTGGTCAGGCTGTTAAGCCAGTTCCTGGCCCAGGTGCCTAACACAGACCTCTACTGTCTGCTCTTGTGTGTTCTAGTGGCAAATATAGGACCCCTTAAGGACATCCCTCTGGTCTCAATAGCACTGACCTTTCTCACTCTCCCAGGAGCTTCTAACTTGAAAGGTCTTGCAGTTTCCAGGGTTTCAGACTAGGGCTCCAGCCATACAACTATAGCCTATGTCACGGTATAGGGGCCTGCCAATTATTAATTTGGCTTAATCCTCTTATTAATTCCTTGTACCAAACATCCCCAGATTCAATTACTGTATGTCCTCCTGCCAAATGGCCCAAATTCAATTACTGTAGTTTCCTCCTCCCTGCCAGCTTGCTACATGTCCCCAAATTGCATTAACCAATTCCCTCCACCAGGTCCTTTTTGATGTCCGCAGGGGCCCAGTGTCATCCTGGCCCCCTCGCTGAGTCC